TCATATCGTTATTGAATGAATGATAGATGAAGGAAATAGGCAAACCTACATAGTAAATATCCCCAAACACTCAGAAACTTTACCATAGCACCAGTTAATAACTGTGTGTGCTACTCCTGGGCCTGTTCCTGAACTTTTTATGCTCAATGCTAGCATTTTGCCACTTGAACCACAGTTCTACTTTGGACTGTTGGTGGTTAATAAGAGTCTTACAGACTTTCTTGCCTGGGCTATCTTTGAACGACAATCCTTAGATCTCAACCTCCACAGTAGCTAGGATTACAGACATGGGCTACCAAGGCCCAGTTGTATTTTTAATGGGTTAATCTTTTCCATCTCCTTTAGTTCTGGTGAACTCTAAGGCCTGATGCATGCTGCACCTGTAGTCCTACAGTTGAAGTTAACCTTTTTGTAGTAGTTTCTTCATTTATAAAATTATATACTAAGCCCTACATTTTTATCCCATTCTTTTCTTTCTTCCAAGATGAAATTTGTATGTTTCACTGCAGCTGCAGATATTTGATATTTGAGGTTTTTACATGAAATGTAAACATATAGCGAAACTACTACAACATTAGTTTTCCAGCACACTTGTTATGGGGTACAGTACAGCCATTGGTTGCATTTTGAACTTTTCTATGATTTTTTAAAGTAAGTCGAGAATAAAAATTGACATTAATCTAAAAAAGAAAAGAAAACAATGCTAGTCAGGAATGATGGCTCATTCACCCTAGTACTCCTAGGTACTTATGGCAGAAAAAGAAGGATCTCCCTTCAAGGCCAAAGCTTACCTCAAAGAACAGAAACTTAGGAGGGTATCAGTCAGAAGCAAAGAGTTTTAGCATTGTGAAAAAGGAAAAAGGCCTGGGGTATGGCTCTAGTAGTAAGAGTGCTTGTCTATAAAGTTCAAGGTCCTAAGTTCAAACTTGAGTACTACCTCCCCTGCTCCCTCCCCCCCCAAAAAAAATCCTAATATTCTTTCTCCATCTCTACTTTTCACTGGGCACCAGTGGCTCTCACCTGTAATTTTAGTTACTCAGGAAGCTGAGATCCTAGGATTATGGTTCAAAGCCAGCCTTGGCAGGAAAGTCCATGGACTGTTATCTCCAGTTAGCCACCAAAAAGTAGAACTGTTACTTAGGTGGTGTAGGCCATTAGCCTTGAGCACAAAAGCTCAGGGACGGCACTCTGGCCCTGAATTTAAGCCCTACAATCAACAGAGAAAAAAGAAAAGAAATACAGGATTAGGGTAAATATATTGATTTTAGAATATATTGCAGATGCTTGTATCTGTAGTGTATCCTAGTTTAAGTATTGTTGCTTTGAAAGGAAATTTTGGTTATTTGTGGTTTCTGGCTAGAGTTTAGTGAATTTTATAGAATGTAGAAAAACTTCATACCAAAAACCTTAGATATAAGAAAAAAATACTAAAACTAAGAAAGAAAATGGATGTAGGATACAAGGGTTCTAGAGAGGATTATTAAAATTGTGGTGATCTTTTCAAGTTAAATTCTAAGTTATGGCTGTTAAGATGGAAATAATGATTGATGCTCAGATGAGGTCTCAATACTATAGTAATATTATTGCTGCAAGAAAAATGGGCATTGTAAATAACCTTTTGAGGTGAGACTACTCAATCTTCCTAAGCAAGAATATGTAATAGATTTTTCTCATTTTTTTTCTATTGCATGGCATAGTTTCAGGAATACAAAATATACCTTTCACCTTGAATTAATGTGTTTGTCTTTACTGTGATATCTCATAATTGAGTGCTAAATTTCATGTAGTTTCTTCAGAGAAACCACTACCTCCCAAAAGCTTTACTGACAGTGAGGAAAATGAGTACTAATTTAAAATACAAAAACCTTAACTTTGTGGTACAGACTAATTCAAGCACTTGGGAAGCTGAAGCAGGCAGATCTCCAGTTTAAGGCCAGCATGGGTTACATAGCAAGACCTTATCTCCAATTAAGAAAAGCGGGGGCGGGGGGGCCGCAGGGGAAGATGTGAATATATATGTAGATACATATTCACTTAGGTTTCATTAGAGACTAAAATTGAAGATTTGACATTGTGGTAGTTTATAGAGAGTTGATCAGAGATTGTGTCTTGGCTGAGTTGCTGTCTGCTTAGGCTGTTAACAATTGTTTTTCTGGCAGCAGATCTTGTTCATCAGGATTGCATCATTTCTGGGAGAAGTGCCAAGGTCCACAGCCTCAGTACAAAGACTGTGTGAAGCATATGAAGCTTGTTCTCTTTCTGAAGCGGCACTCCTCTTCCTGCCAGTCCTCTTCACAGGATTACTGAAGCAGACTTGTTCTGAAATTCTTTTCTGGGATTGGCCATTTACTAGACTGTTATCTCCCACCTGCTTCCGGCTCACCTGTCTGACGCAACTTCTTCTGAAATTTCAGTTGGAGTTGTTCTTAGAGTGACTAGATGGACTGTAGTTTCAGGCTTTCAACAACTCATATAGAAAAGATACTGTCATAATGATAAGAGATTCTTGGACTGGGAAGATGGCTCAGTGGTAGAGCGCTTGCCTTGCATGCATGAGGCCCTGGGTTCGATTCCTCAGCACCACATAAGCAAAAAGAAAAAGCCGGAAGTGGCGCTGTGGCTCAAGTGGTAGAGTGCTAGCCTTGAGCTGAAGATCTGAGGGACAGCGCCCAGGCCCAGAGTTCAGGCCCCCCCAAAAAATAAAATAAAATAAAAAGAAAAGACATATACCATTTGATACACTTTCCCCTAGAAACTAAAAAAAAAAAAATTAAGTACTCACTTTTAGGCTGATTCTTGTTTATGAATCTAGGAATTATTGATATCCTCTTGATCATTAAATCATTAAAAAGAAAGTGAAATTCTGGTGCTTTCATTTTCCCCCTTCTATATAAACTCATGCTTCTTTTTTCTTCCAGTCCTTTCTCTTTATTTACTGTTCCTAAAGGATTCTGCTATTGCTTCCTTTATTTTTTTCCTTTACTGTGACCTTTATACCTTAAAAAAGTAAAACTTGTGGCTGGGAAGGTGGCTCAGTGGTAGAGTGCATGCATTGCGTGCATGAGGCCCTAGGTTTGATTTCTCAGCACCACATAAGCAGAAAAGGCCAGAAGTGGTGCTATGGCTTAAGTGGTAGAGCATTAGCTTTGAGCTGAAATGCTGAGGGACAGCGCCCAGGCCCAGATTTCAGGACCTACGACCAACATACATACATACACACATACATATGTAAAACTTTGGATATAATTTTTCTAAGACTACCTTATTTTGGACTCTTTTTTCTTCCTTTCTTCCGTGTGTGTGTGTGTGTGTGTGTGTGTGTGTGTGTGTGTGTGTGTGTGTTTGGATATAATTTTTCTAAGACTACCTTATTTTGGACTCTTTTTTCTTCCTTTCTTCCGTGTGTGTGTGTGTGTGTGTGTGTGTGTTTGGATATAATTTTTCTAAGACTACCTTATTTTGGACTCGTGTGTGTGTGTGTGTGTGTGTGTGTTTGGATATAATTTTTCTAAGACTACCTTATTTTGGACTCTTTTTTCTTCCTTTCTTCCGTGTGTGTCTGTGTCTGTGTGTGTGTGTCTGTGTCTGTGTGTGTGTGTCTGTGTCTGTGTGTGTGTGTGTCTGTGTCTGTGTCAGTCGTGGGACTTGAACTCTGGGCTTGGGTGTTGTCCCTGAGCTCTTCAGCTCAAGGTGAGTGCTCTACCATTTGAGCCACAGCCCCACTTTTCAGAAGGTGGTTAATTGGAGATAAGAGACTCAGACTTTCCTGCCAGTGCTAGCTTTGAACCGTGATCCTTAGATCTCAGCCTCCTAAGTAGCTAGGGTTACAGGCATGAGCCACCAGCGCCCAGCTCATTTTGCACTTTTTAAGAAATTCCATAAAACATCAAAATGAATCTTAATGTCCATTTATGTTTGCTAACTTGAGTTCCAAATGATATTTGAAGCATTAGTATATCATTCTGTCTGATGTTAGACTTGACATTTTGGAGAAAACACTAAAAACTTAAGGCATGCTAATCATTTTCCTCCAAGAAAAGTTCTTGATTACCTATTTTCATTTTTAGATAATACAAAATTAATTAAAGCTCCCTTTTCAGTCATAAATGTTGGGTAAGACCTTGTCTGCTTAAAAACAAAATGTGATGTTTGCTTCATTAAAAAAAAAAAGTACTCACACCTGTAATTTTAGCTACTCAGGAGGCTGAGATCTAAGGATCATGCTTCGAAGCAGACCTGAGCGGGAAAGTCCAGGAGACCCTTATCTCCAGATAACTACTAAAAAGCCAGGCGTGGTACTGTAGCTCAAAGTGGTAGAGCATTAGCCTTGAGCAAATAGAGGTCCTGGACAGCCCCTTAGCCTTGAGTTCAAACCCCAGGACTGGCACCAAAAAAAATTCTAAAGAGATTCAGTTAAGAAGACCTTCCTAGGGGCCTGGGAAGGTGGCTCAGTGGTAGAGCGCCTGCCTTGCATGCCTGAGGCCCTGGGTTTGATTCCTCAGCACCACATAAGCAAAAAGAAAAAAGGCCGGCAGTGGCACTGTGGCTCAAGTGGTAGAGCGCTAGCCTTAAGCTGAAGAGCTGAGGGACAGTGCCCAGGCCCAGAGTTCAGGCCCCACTATCGGACCAAAAAAAAAAAAAAAGAAGACCTTCCTAGAAGATAAAGGTTGAAAAAAAACCAGTATCCTTCCCCCCCCCCAAAAAAAAGGGATAAACAAAGGAAACAAAAGGACCCCTGGAGAAATGGGAGGTTATTTTTATTTAAAAAGAGAGGCATTAGCCAATATGAGTATTTACCCTTCTTAAAAGTAATTTTCCTCCTCACCCTTTATAGAAAATGGAACTTGTAAATCTGTATTAAGGATTAAAATTGTAGAATTAAGTGGAGAATAAAGTAGTCAACCAAACAATGTAATAAATATAATTCAGAAATAAGATAAAGTATAATTCCATTATATGTTATTTCTTACTGTACTAATTTATGTCTCAACTTTTTCTAGGTCTTCAGAGCTACTGACATAACTTTGGGGCACTTCATATTCAGAGGTCTATGTAAAGGTGACTGACCCAAATCCTTTTAACATTTTATTTTTTACATTTTAATGGATGCTGAAATCATATTGCTATAATTGTGATCACAATTCACTTAGCAGTTCTTTCTTATACCATCTTTTAATTTTTAAGAAGTTTGGTACTGGCTACAGTACCAAACCAGACAAGAATAAAACAGAAAAATAGCCCTGTCCCCAGAGTGTTTATATTCTGGTAGTTTGAGATAGATAACAAATGTTTCTTGAAATTACATTCTTTTCCAGAACACATCTCTAAAACTATGACTCAAGTGATAACTGCTATAAATCCTGACTTTGATAAACTATAGTAGGTATTGCCCTGTTTTATAAAATAGAACATTAAAATAAATTGCATATAGTTTATTTGTTAAAAGTTGTTCAGTTAATGTTGGAATGGCTATATTTTGCACAATTATTTGGGAAAGCACCTATTCTCAATTATGTATGAAAAGTTTGAATTTATTATCAGAATTAAGAAACCTGGGCTAATGCCTATAATCCTAGCCACTCAGGGGGCTAGTATCTGAGGATCATACTTTGAAGCCAGCCCTGACAGGAAAATCCATGAGACTCTTATCTCTAATTAACCATAAAAAGCCGGAAGTGGAGCTGTGGTTTAAGAGGGATATAGCCCTAGCCTGAGTACAGAAGCTCAGAGACCATACCTAGACCCAGAGTTCAAGCCCAGGACCAACATACAAAACAAAACAAAAAGACAAAAGAAACCCTGTCATTATGAAAGCATTATTAAGAATAGTATGACTGAATTGACTTATCAGAAGAGTGGCAGGATTATCCGAAACTAGATAAAATGGATATGGAAGAATTTATCAAAGAGAAATTCTTAACTTTTCTGTGTTTGTTTGAGTTAGGCAATAGAAAGGAGGCTTTAGATTGCTGTGTTGGCAAATTTGAGAATGCAGAATGCTGTTGCCTCTACTCTATCTCATGAGTTTTTCCTAATGTTTCTTTAGGATTATTTATGAACTTGTGCAAAACAGCTAGGTTTGTATATCTCTTCATTCCTGAGACTGGATTTCATTTTGTAGTTCAGTTGGTCTCAAGCAGAGATCCTCCTGCCTCAGTATTTTAAGTACTGGGATTATAGGCAATGTGGCATTATGCCTAGCCCTTCAGTTTGAATTTTAAGAAATACAGAAATAATTTGCTTGTTCTTTTAAAAAGTTACTGTCGGAGAAATAAATTAGCTATCAAATTATATTTAAGCTTCTACATTTAAAAATGTAGATAGGAGCCAGGCCGCCAGTGGCTCACATCTGTAATCCTAGCTACTCAGTAGAGAGAGATCTGAGGATTGCAGTTCAAAACCAGCCCAGGTCATACTTTGAAGCTAGCCCTGGCAGGAAAGCCCATGAGACTCTTAATCTCCAGTGAACCACCAGAAAAACCAAAAGTGACACTGTGGCTCAAGTGGTACAGTGTACAGTGCTTGTCTTGAGCTGAAGAGCTCAGGGACAGTGCCCAGGCCCAGCGTTGAAGCTCCATGACCAACAACAACAAAAAATGTTGATGGCTTTGCATTTTAGTCCTCAGTCTAGCTATGTTACCTCCAGATGGGTAGGAACAGGTATGAGAATCCTACATTCGTTGATACAGCTCATTCAAAGTATGGGCACCATAGACACTAAGTTGTTTATAGATATTCAGCAAGCTAATGATTCATAAATATTAACTTTATATGATCTTAAAAATCTTTTAGTTTGCCATTCATAATTAGTTTTCTTATTCATATTAAGCTTTATGTATCAAAGGCACACTTGAACATCTCAAAACAACAGCTGTTTAAAATTTTCATTAATCTTTCAATCAGTATGATACACTTTTCATTCCATTAAGTTTTTTAGTATTAAAAATTGTTTGACTTTTCTACTCTTATCATAATTCAGAATATTTCATAGATTAGGCTCATTGGCTCATGCCTATAATCCTAGCTGCATAGTAAGTGTAAATAAGAGAACAGTTGTCCAGGACAGCCTTGGAAAAATAACTAAGCGTATGATTCAAGCAGTAGAGCACCTGCCTAACAAGCACAAATCCCTGAATTCAAATTCTGATGCCCCCTCAAAAGTTTGTCAGTCATAATTTTTTTTTAGTCTCTTTTTGGAAAAAAAAAATAATTATAAACCTGAATTTTTGACATTCACACTTCTTCCCTCTTACATAAAATACTTTTTATTTCACTCTTTTTTAAAAAGATGTACAATTATTAAGCATGTAAGTTTTCTTTTTTTCTCTAAATTTACTTCTGCTTTTTAATTCTTCAGCAGTTTTTGGGTCTCTTTTCCAAATTAGCAGTTTTGAGTATGTTTTTTTCCAAAATCCTTAGTATAATTAATTGAATTTCCAAAATCCTTAGTATAAGATCACCAAGTCAAGGTGTACTTAATTGCCTTTTTTCACAAAATTCTCTATAATATACTTCATCATGAAGTTATTCCACATAGTTTAGTTCCAGTATTGTGTTTTATATCCAGAAAGAGGCTCACACACACTAGTTTTAAAAGCAGTTTTAAGTTTTTGACAGAAGTGAACAGAGATTTCCATATTCTGTGCATACAAATTCATAGTCTCTGAAGGTCTATGTTTTTATTTACATCTGACAATATATATTAGTACATATACACAGTTGTTAAGATCACTGCAGCTTTGCTCAGAAATAAAGTTTTTAAAAGATTGCTTGAAAGAAAAAGTGAAAAAAGCTAATAAGAAACAATTATAAGCAGTCAAATACAAGTAGCAAGTTAATTTCTTCTACCAGATTTAATTTGGGAGAAATAACATTTATGACTGCTAGTAGGACTTGGTTTATCTGTGGCCTTGGCCAAAGAATTGTTGAGAAGTTTAGAGTATTTCTAATCCTCAGTCTTTAAATTTATTGGATAGGCCTAGATTAATAGGGGTTTTAGTGAGCTGGCAAGTCATTACTTTTCCTTTGACTGAAAGTAAGAATAATGTATAGCTATTGTATTTTGTGGAAAATTAATGATATGTGTAGTGATCATAGAATTTATTATTTAGAAGTACAGAAAACTACTCTCAGATTTCAAATAAATTTAAAGTATTATCTTGTTGCTAGCTATTTTCCTTGTTTGTGACAGGATTCCTCATGTCCATATCATGTTGGCTGAGGCTGTACAGCTCACCCCCACTCTCAGAGTGGTCAGTCTCCATTAATTGGACCCCGTGATTTCCATTCTCTGCTGTGTTGGACGTCATGAGCATTGCAGTCCCTCTGGGAGTAACTACACCAGATACATCCTATTCAGATATGGCTGCTGGATCAGAGTAAGTGGTAATTCCTAGGTACATTACCAATTTTGTGTGAAAAGTTTTCTTGTAGGTAGTAATAAGCTATAATTTTCTTGACCAAAGCCTACCCCATTATATATGACATTAGACTTTGCCCTTTTTCTCCCAAAGAATATGGAGAGGAAAGAGAATTTTAAGTGGGGGGAAGAAACTTTTAGGGAAGGATTTCTGGGTAAATTAGTAATAGAATCAAAGTTGCAAAGTAGTGATTACATTTTTCTTTTGTTTTCATGAATGGGAAAATTGAAATTAAGTAGGTGTCACTGCCTGCTTCTATAGAGTTAATGGTTATTCTGATAGAGGGAAGATAAGGAGATTTTCTTTCCAACTGATTTTCTTCGAAGGCCTCTTCCTAAGTACTTCTCATTCTAAAATAAGGGGGCTAAAACTTTATGTGGGCAGATTGCTTAGTCTGACTTTTGGGATAGAAAACATAAAGAGCAGTGCCAAACTGTTTTTTTTATAATATTCATTGCCTAGAAAGAGGACCTTCAAAATCAGTGGTACCAAACTTGTTTTTCAGCTAAGAGCAGCATTAGGAGTTCAGTTTGTCAAAAAGCCCAATCCCTAAAATAGACTCTTCAATTCTTGAAGAATGTAAATACCAAATGACAATGAAGGTAGGCCTTCATTATACAACTTTATATATTAATCAGTTTTTAAAATTTAGCCTTTTGTATCCCTTCTTTTTTAAGTTGTCCAAGATTCCCCCTGCTCACAGATTCCCCCTCTTGTCCTTTTACCTCCCTTGTACCCAATCTTCCTTGCTTACAGAAAGGAAGTGGAAGCCCCCTACCTTTCAAGACGAAGTGGCACTACACCAGGATGTGAAAGTCCAGCGAAAGAGACCCAAGGGGCCTAGGGGGCAGCACACCCCCAGAAGCCAAGTCTATTCCAGGCAGTACCAGGGATTAGGGTCTGGGCTGGAAAAATCCTGGTGTTTTGAATATGTTCAGGTCCAGTTCAGACTCTTGATCCCACAGCCACTTCTTGAGTGAGGTGGGTGTTGCTCTAATTCCCCTGTTTCTCTTGCCATTTTCATAGTCCCTGGGGGTTCTTCCCCTTCAGCAAAGCAAAGCAACTGTACCAGAATTCTGGGTTGAACGGCATCCTTTATTAATAGGGCTTCTTTCTTAAAACTGAGACTATGATTAAAGAGCATGTGTATTTCTTCATAAAGCCACCTATTTATCATTACTTGTTTATTGGGTTCCTTGAACAAGACTTAAAGCTACCCTAGGAAATAATATATAATATTCTGGGGTAGTATGAAGCTGAGAATAGTTTTCAAGCTTATCCCATATTGAAATGAATAGGGAGGGTGGGGAAATGGGAAAGGAAGAGTGACTTTCTATTTCATTTAAGGCTATTTATTTTCTTTTATTATTAGTTTGCATGACAAAGATTCAGTTAAACCATTAGCTGAGATTTCCAAATATATAAATATTTCCCCAAATAGATCACTTAAAAATTTTCCTGCATTATTACATATCCCAGTTGTATAGTGTTGAGGTATTTATAAAATCAGCTATTTATCTGCTATGATCTGATAACAGGAAGACATTTTAACATTTGTAAGAAATTTCAGTAGAGATTAAACCAATAAATTTTAAATTACTAAGAACAAGATCCAAATCAATTATTCTGAGAATTATTATCTTTCCCAATTAGTATAGTGATAATTGACTATAAATGTTGCTAGGGAATCTAGTAATGGCTACAGAAATAAAAATATTTCTGGTATGCAAATTTGATTACATTGCCACATCTCAAGAGTTCCTGAACATTTTCTTCCATTATTTTCATAAGTTTATGATGCTGCAGTCATAACTAATTTCACAGTTATTCTTTTATTAGTTGTATAAAAGAAGAGACTATCAGTTATTGGCTTATATACTTCTACTTTTCAATGTTTCATCATGCCTATTCCCCTATTCTTAGTACATTTAAACTGCTCTTAAAGAGCAACATATTGGACCAAGTGGAGACCTAAACCATACCTCATAGTATTTTAAATCTGATACCAACAATATACAGTCTGCATTTTTTGATACTTATACAAAAACTTATAATAAAAGAAAGATGTTTCTGGACTTAAAACTCTGCCCTAAGAGTTTTGGTCATTTTAAGAGGTGGCATTATAGCAGATTATATACTGTACAAAATTGATGGAGTTTATCCGTTGTAAACCTGGTTTTTACTGTATGTGCCCAACTCTCACACAACTCATAGAAAAAAGGATACAATTATATGTATAAATTGATTGTCTAATAAAGACATGTAATCTTAGTACTCCTTTTGTTGTTTTGTTTTTGTAGTGCTGGGGATCCAACAAACACAGATCCTCATACCTGCTTAGGCAAACACTCAACTGTATCCCCAGTTTCTATTTTAACATACAGATAAGAATTGATGTATATGTCAAGGACTATTCTAGGGAGTCCTCTGGTTAGCTGCTAATATCTCTATCATTAGTAAACAATGAAAAAATGGTAGGAGTTATTTTTAATTAAAACATACAAACTTAGGCATGCATAGCAATGTATTAAATGCTGTGCATGACTGGATAATATTGAACAATAGGGTGGCCTGTTAACCTGCACAATATACATTTTATTTTTATTCCCTAGACTTGCACATGAAGTGCATATGTTCATATTTACCCAGTTTGGAGATGGGTAAGATATAATCAACATAGCTCCATCTCCATGGCCATCTTTTATTTCATAAAACTTTCCTTTTCCCACTACCCCCAAGGGGTGGGGGTGGGGGGAACATTTGTAATGAACAGCTGTCATATTTCACCCCATGTGTTTAATGGTACAAAATCTCCTAAATAAAACATGTATAGCTGTTGAGAATATTTAGTAATGCACCCAGTAAATTGACTGTATAAATCCATTACTGTTTTTAGCTGTCCATCATAGAAGCTAAATTCTATCTTCATTTTAGAAGCTAAATTCTATCTTCATTTTATTAATGCTTGTCTACCTTTGATTTCATTTAGGAAACCCTGTTTCCTAAGACTCAGAGTTGATTGCCTCTCAGTGAGCCATGTTCAGATCATGTCTTTTTTCAAGAATACTGACCTGCATTCTTGATGTTTCCCTTCCCCAACAGTTCCCATCATACAGACACTATCAAATAATAAATGCATGCACTTCACTAATAGAAAATACTTTCCTATGTCTAAAATTCTTCTTCACCTAGAAATTGCCTTTGCTGTTATTAATAAGATCCCTTCTCACAGTTTTGGAGCATAAAACTGGGTGAGTTGGATATGTACCTCAGAATTTTCTTTTACCCCACATTCGTCAGTTGATGTGCTACATTGACTTGCACACTTTATTCCTGCCAAGTGCTATGTGTTGTGAATTTTGAAGCAGGAAAAGTATTATTTGAAACAAACTATGTCTTTTTGATTCCCTAAAAGACCTAATGATCTTTAAGGTTGAATTATGCTAGTACTTGGAGTTTCACTGTTTTCATATAAATTAGAACTAATACATTTTTTGTTCTGCCAAGTCATACAATTAAAATTAATTATTTCTCAAAACATCCCCAAAATCAGTTGACAAAGTTAAATTTCTTTATTCATTTAAAAACACCTAAATTTTTATCTTTTCCATGTATACTTTTTTATTAGCAAGCAAAGGCTTATATTAAATGTACACATTTAAGTACATTTATATTTTTTTATGTTAATACATTTGCCTGAATAGTTTATTTACCACTAATAAAGATACAGAAAGATTCTATACTAAGGTTTTTATTAAATCTTGGTTAATAAAAGGTCTCAAAATAATTTTCACTAAGGGCAAAATATACTGGAAAGTATCCAGGCTTGAGAGTCAGACGTTTGAAACCTTGGCTCTGTCGATGTAACTCCTTGGGGGAAGTCATGTAATCCTAACACCTCAATTTCCCCCTTTATAAAAATGGGGTACTGTTCACCATGTTTAATTGTTGCAGAAATTAAATGAATTATACATAAAGCAAATAACAGGTGATTTACACTAATAGCTGCTACTGCCATTACTGTGTCACTAAACTAAGGTAACTTCGAAGTTCAGTTTTTATTATTTGAAGTCCTGTGGTATTAACCATGCAGCTTTTAAATAATTGTATCCTTGATCTGCTTGCATGTCATTGGTGGATGAGAAATTATTACTCTAATATGTGAAGGTGTTTGGGGGTTCATCAAGATGAGAGGTGTGATAAATATAAGATGCCATTGTTTTTACCTGTACTTTCTTCAGGGTATCCTGTCTTGGTAGTGAATGGAAGAGGGCCTGGTCCCTGGGGCAGTGCAGAAGGCACTTTCATCATCTCACTCACTGCAAATGTCATGTGAGGTTTCATGGAAGTATTAAGAGATCCAATTAAGAAGAATAGTTCTGAGTCTAAACCAGCCCAGAGTGGCTTCTCTAGGGGAAACTCCCCGCTCAGCTGGTACGTTTGTGTTTGTCATTAGGGACACCTTGTATCCCAGGTGCCTGCCTTGAGACATCTGCCTGTACTGGCTTCATGTTACACACAAATCCACATCAGTAACACTCCTACTGTTATTTTTAGGCTTAGTTATGTTAATCAGATTGTTTCAGTGAGTTCTTACTCTAGTGGCTGGTGGTTGTGGAAAGGGATTAAATGGGAAGTGAACTGTTAAGTTTAAAGGAAAGATTAGGTGTTATGCTATCATGCATTGCTTTTCGCCTTTGTGCAGCCCTGAATCTGTGGAGGCTAGTCCAGCAGTTAATGAGAAGAGCGTGTATTCCACTCATAATTATGGGACCACTCAGAGGCTGGGGTGTCGAGGACTGCCTTATGCTGTGAGTATGCATTTGTTTCTCTCCAGAGCAGTGATCTTCTTGGAGTGTAATCCATTCTTATACATTGTGACTTTCTTGAAATGTTTATATGCAGCATGACGAAGTTGCCCCTTTTGCACTTCCCTGCCTCCAGCGGACGTCTAGCCCTGCATCATTGTTCTTGTTTTTATGTCCCAGTTGACCTTGGCATTTTGTTTTATCACTTTCCTGGTTGAAGCCAAAAAAACAAAGGGTACTACTTTCTTCTTTCTTTCCATATGTACCATACTTTAGGGGAGAGAGGGGCCAGTGTTTGGACACTGTTGATTTAAAAAATCTTATTTTCAGGATCATAATTACGGAGCCCCTCCTCCTCCGACACCTCCTGCTTCTCCCCCTGTCCAGACGATCATCCCTCGTTCTGACCTGAATGGCCTGCCGTCGCCCGTAGAGGAACGCTGTGGAGACAGCCCGAACTCTGAAGGAGAGACTGTTCCTACCTGGTGTCCTTGTGGTCTTTCTCAGGATGGCTTCCTTCTCAACTGTGACAAGTGCAGGTAAGATCCTGTTTCATCTAAATTCAAGCCTGGGTTGATGGGATTAGGGTTTCTTATTAGTAGGGAAAAGCTCAAAGTATTCTTTCTTGTGTTTGTTAATGTAGATGATTCCTTAGTGCTCCTTGGCTCGAATTCTCTGCACTAGGTGAGAATTGCTGACAACAAGGAATGAGAGATTGATGTTAAAGCTATTGAATTTGATATGAAATTTAATGTCCTGGAAACATTTGGTAGGTGGGAGGGAGGGGGTAGTATATGCAGAGATACTTCTCCCGTGTGTGTTATAATGTGCTGCATGCTGTTGGAAGGACTACTTTAAGTTTATTTTCCCTCTTTAGGGGAATGAGCAGGGGGAAGGTTATTAGACTTCATCGGCGGAAGCAGGACAACATATCAGGTAAGCTTAAGCTGGGTTAAACATAGATTTTAACATGTAAATAGTTTGTGGTTGAATATTCTCTTAAGACTCCCTTTTATAAGTTCTTATGGTCTCCAGATTTTTTCATGGAGAGAGATGTTCTTTCAAGACTACTGTATAGTTCTGTCTTTGTGAGTTAAACAGGTGGAAACAACATCTTAGTCCTGTAGCAAAGTGTTTTGTTTGTTTTGGGGGGTTTTGTTTTTGTTTTTTTTGTGTGTGAAATCCCTTTTCTTTGTATTATATATCTCAGATTGTTATATTTTAAGGCAGTAGAGCTTGGATACAAGGGAAGAAGTTGATGTAATGTAGAACACAGTTTATATGCTTAATGCCAATAGCAGAAGGAGTCTTGTTTTCCTAAGAAAGGTGGGTATATGTGTTATTTCGCAGTTAATAGAAGTAATGAGATCCTGAATATGGGGTACATTGAAAAGAGTAAGCTGATGTTAGGACAGTGCGGGACTGGTAGTCCCTAAGCTGTGAAATCACCCTCTTTTTAGGTGGGGATAGCAGTGCAACAGAAAGCTGGGATGAGGAGCTTTCTCCTTCCACTGTGTTGTATACAGCAACACAGCACACACCTACAAGCATCACCTTAACTGTTAGAAGAACCAAACCCAAGAAGCGGAAAAAGAGTCCAGAAAAGGGTCGTGCAGCACCAAAGACGAAGAAAATCAAGGTATGGGGAGTAAAAAATATCTAAAGTAGAAAGAAATATGTCTGAAATAGCTCAATTTTTGGAGTAAGAATGCCTTTCTCTGGAGGCATGACTCAGCAGTAGAACTCCTGTCTAGCAAGCATGAGTTCAAACCCCAGGACTACCAAAAAGAAAGAATGAAGAATGTGACTCAAATGTTTAAAGCTTGAAGGGTTTAGTTATAAAAATGAGTTAATGTGTTAACATTCACATAGACCTGTATCTCTTCTGCTGCACCATACCATTACCACTGGCTCTTTTAAGTGTCTTCTACTCCAACCCCCATCTCAGGTATGAAATTCCAGCCGTGTCTGGCACAATTCCATAAGTATGTGTTGTAGCCTTGATTCTAGGCTTTCTATTCTTACAGCAGCTCCCCACCACTCAGTTCAAAGCAGTATGATGATACTCTTCTAGTTACATGTCTACCTCGTTTCGTTTGGGTCAGTAGTTTTTTCTTGTTTCTAAAAAGCAAAACAAAAATAAGGAAACATCTCTTGTGAATGGTCTCAGCTTCCATAGTGTCATGGTCACTTTTCTGTATTCTCAACTAAAGACTCTCCAGCAGAAACCTCTTCTTTTTGATGTTCTTTCTTCCCCATCACAGCAACTTCGTTGCTCTTAGGTGACTTGCCCACCCCTTCTAAAGGGGAGTGGTCTTTGTTTCCTTCTTCACTTCAAAACTGGTAAATCTGCAATTTAAGGTTTTAAATTACTTTTTCTCTTAATACCAGGGGTACCTGTAGCATTTCAGTTGTGCATGCTTTTCTCTGTTAGTTACCTAGCTCTATCATAGAATATATGAAGGTTAGAGTTCATTGGCCTTGTTCTATCTGTATTCTTGGTAATAGTCTGGGGGAGTTCTATTGGATTTGTTAGATAGAGAAAAGGGGACAGAATAGAACACTAGTTTATCACTTAGTTTTAATCTCAGATAGGTATAACTGTCATTCTTGGTACCAAGTTTTGTTTTGTTCTACTTGTTTTCCTCTTTGGGATAGGCATTTCGAGAGGGATCCCGGAAGTCCTTGCGGATGAAGGTAAGGGGTTAATCTTCCCTGATGCTGTGTTTTACTTCACTGTGATCTTGCATTTTGGTCAGCTTCTTTCCTGACATTGATGGTCTGGGAATCTTGAAGTCTGCTTCTCATTAGTTTGTGATTGTTGCCATTCAGTTTTCATAGAACTTTTTTCCAAAGTAGTTTTTCTGGAGCATTTTCTGAAATGTTTTCCTTTTGTGTAATGAGCCTTAATTTATTGGGTTTTTTGTTAGCTGCTTTTCGGTGAGTGGGTAAGTGATATTTTATCACACAATGAGGTGGATGTGTTTTGTCACTGTCATTGGGCTTCAGCTCAGGAGTGAAGGTTTGCTGGTAACAGGTCAGGATATCTTGTTCACCTCCATCCTAGCATCATGTGGGCTTTTAACAATCAGTTAAAAACTCATTTGCAGAAATGAGTTGTATTATTGATAAGAATTGGCCCTATTGGAATTGAACTGTTTTTTCCTGAAATAGCTTCTATTTGATGGATGCAATATTTGTATGTTTCTTCCATTATCAAATAAAAAGGCTTATGAGGCATGATTTTATAAAGAAGCTAGAGAATAGTGAAATTATGTACAGTATTTTAAAGGGACTTTATGTACTAGTTGAGAATGGTTTGCTAAAAGATTTGATTATACTATCTGATGTCTTACAAACAGAGAGAGAGAGAGAGAGAGAGAGAGATAGCATACTTCATAACACATTACTTAAAGAGTTTTGAAGCATTAGTTAGAATTAAGTTGTACTTTAATTCTGTAAGTACTCATGCAATAAAGGTAGGCTCTTTGTAGTGGGCAGTTATATGGTATAAACATTAAAAGTCCTGCCGGGCGCTGGTGGCTCACGCCTGTAATCCTAGCTACTCAGGAGGCTGAGATCTGAGGATCGCAGTTCAAAGCCAGCCCGGGCAGGAGAGACCATGAGACTCCTATCTCCAATAAACCACCAGAAAACCGGAAGTGGCGCTGTAGCTCAAGTGGTAGAGTGCTCGCCTTGAGCTGAAGAGCT